AGCGCGATGAATGAAACTCAGTTGAACCGAGACAAAGAGGTATATCCAAATAAGTGCAAATAATAAAAAAGGTGATGTAAAAGAAAACAATGTAAATGTACTTTATTTTCTAAATAAAACTGTACATCATTACACTAAGAGCGTATCGCTAATAAGCAAGTTTCATCTTCCTGACGATATTTTATAAAAATTAGTATAGAGTACTAAAAAAACCGACCCCAAAATTACGTGGAATTACATATAATTACCAAGTTTTATTGAAATCGGTCACCGGAAAGTGCGTAAACCCGGATTCATCCACTAGTTCGCCACTATACGGGACTTGACACAGGAGATAATAAAAATCGGTTCTCACTACTTACTCAAAGTATATTAAGAGAGAAAAACACCTTGAATGGGAGAATAACAAAATCAACCATTAAAATAATTGCTCCTTGTAATAAAATTTAAGCGCTATTTAAAAAATGAATCTTCATGCGTGAACAGCCATCTTTAGAGGTGAATGATTTTCTTCAAAATTAAATGTGTCCACTATGGAGGTACCCTCTTTCCAACAAAAAAAAAAAGAATTATGAAAATCGGTTCACAAATACCGAAGTTATCACGTAACATACAAAAAAAAAACATACAGATGAATTGAGAACCTCCTCCTTTTTTGAAGTCGGTTAAAAACGACCAATCTTACACTATTTTCTGTGATACACGCCGACTCGCCTGTCCAAATCAATTGCAGTACTAAGCAGACTTTTAAATCGTAAAGACCTGAGGGACGCTTACGGACACATACGTTGACAAGTGCCAAGTGCTTGTAGTTTCACCAGCACCCGGACCCTTCAAAACCGGAACGCAGTAATGCTCACATTACTACTAGGCGGCAGAAGTAGGTGTGGTGGTAGTACTTCCCTATACGAACTCTTTCACAAGAAGCTCTACTATTACTAAACTTATTTTGCCATTGCAGCATCACCTGGATATTAATACACTTTGTTTTTAAACACTTCGAAGATATGGAAATAGCTGGACACCTTTTAGAAAAACTATTCTAACACCGTCACATTTATCCTTGTGTCAAGGATTTTATGCTAATGGACCCGTGTTTGCTGTATGGACCTCTTCTCACCCATAGTGCCCTAAGCATAGTGTATAATGTTATATAGTAGACATACTAAGGATGGAATGAAATAAAACTGCGACTTCGGGAAACACGCGATTGCATCGCTACAATACACGTCATAAGTAAAGTCGGGTTTTCACTATACGAGTACGCTCGAACTGAGTTCACTCGGATAACTACTTGGACGACACTCGTAACGTATTTATTGGGTGCCAACGTCAGAGAGCACTCGGATCACGTGTTTACACCTTACAAGTAGCGCCCTATTAGTCATCCGAGTAGACTCAGTCCGAGCGCACTCGTATAGCGAAAACCCGGCTTACAGGCAACCCCAGCTGATTTGCCCAAGTATAGAAAAACAAATAAAAATAAATTTGTAAATTGAATAACGAACAGTGACATATAATACTGATTACAAAATTGTACGGAGATTCAATAATGTTACGTTTGAAGTTGAGAGTCTCAACTTTAAGCCTGAATACTTACTTAATTAAGTGAAAACAGAGTGGTACAGCAAAAACGACGCAACTTATACTTTGAAATGCTTTATATTCGTCTGGTAACTTATTAATTCGCACTTTGTAATATAATTTATTACGATCTAAAAGTAACTCAACGAAAAACGGAATCTACATTTTGATATAAACAAAAAAAAAATTAAAAAACGCAAAATCAAAAAAAAATTTCAATACGAACTTAGTATTTTGTTTAGAAAAGTGGTAGCTTAATGGTTTGACCAACCGTCTCTCAAGCAGAGGCCTTGAGTTCGAATCCGGGCTAGTTCCTCTAACTTTCGGAATTTATGTACGAAATTTAATTTAAAATTTACCATGAGCTTTTCGGTGAAAAACATCTTGATGAAACCTACACGACGAAGGTTCTCAAGGTTCGGAAAATGTTTCAAGTTCTCAACACGCAATGGGTCAGCACCGGCTTGGTGGACTATGCCCTAAACTCTCGTCTGAGAGGAGACCAGCAATGGGACGTATATAAATAGATTGATGATGATGGTAACAACATATCGCATTTTAATACAATAGTGTATTAACTCAAAAAGTGTATTTTCTAAGAATCGACGAAAAACAAATTACTCGTTTCCCGTGAAAGATAATTAAAATGTATGTATAGGTTATAGTTTGTTACAAACAATTTCCTACTTACCAAACATATTTAAAAATAAAACCGAAAAAATAATTATATATTTTTGAATAATGACTATTTTGCCCAGAACTAGCTCACATAACGCGTGTCTCATTTTGACTTAAGTAGACATCTTTTAGTTGTTTCTTACAATATTATAAACACGATTTTATCGACGTGTAGAGAATCAAATTTTACGTTCATTAGTGGTATAACCTTGGATTTCACATATTTTGAGTTATAACACTATTGTAATAGCAGTGCGATACACATATTGAAATAAATTTTAATAGGTCACTTTTTTGTAGATCTAAATCTAAAGTCTGTCTTTTTTCAAGACAGAGTAAAATGACGTTTGCAGGGTTACCAGTTTTCATAAAATTTTAAATAGTCATGTAGTTGTTGTCAACAGTTTTATCGATAGATTGTGAAAGAATGTAAAATTTTGCCAAAAATGTCTGAATATTGTGTATGTTTACGACGTTCCAATGATTACCAAAGCCAGTTTTACATTTGTCTGACGTACGTGTCGCGACGCGTCAGAACGGTTTCATACACACAGCACAAGCTGACACGTCAGATAAATGTAATTACGGCTTTATATCGTTATTGCCTTCTTTTATTCTTATTTTGACAGTTAGACTAATAGTAACAAAATCAATTTTTTATTCGTGTACATTTTAATAAGGGCAGGTGGATTTGATCGTCTATATTGTTGTTAAGGTGTTGGACAGTCTGCTGGATAAAGAGCTGGACCACAGACATATATCTAGGTAGAAGTCGCAAGTACACCAATTTGTATGAAAACCAAGCGTGCCACTTTTTTGTACCCACTATGACGTCACAAGAATTATTTAGTGATGGAAACTCCTTCCGCTCGCTCTAAATCGATTGATTGAACGGAATACGCGTAAGCACGCGTTTATTGCGATATTATTTTGCAATTATTGCGTATTGTCAATCCTTCTACATGGGTGGTCTGTGGATTAACTATACGCAGAAGGCACTCGGCGCCCTGCGTATTCAATATAATAACAGCTTCAGGATGCTGTTGGGACTACCGCGGCATTGTAGCGCATCGTCTATGTTTGCTGAAGCGGGAGTAGACGACTTTTTTGCTGTGATGCAAAAAAGACGGCGTCTCTACTCTCTAGACTCCGTTCTAGTAAACCGGCATCATGAAAACGTTTGTGGCTAAGCTCGATGCGCCGACGCTTCGTCATTTCATCCAATTCTGGTGAGGTGTTGGGGTAATCGGCAGCGCCTCGAGCGAAATAATGTGTGTTTTTATGTTTTGTTTCTGTGTTTACTAACAATAGTCATAAGCTTAAAAATATCTGTATTTACTAACAAGTGGGCCTTGGATGCCAAATAAATGATTTATTATTATCATTATTATTATTATCAGATTATTATGTAGCTGTAGCTGTCGCTGTAGTTGTAGCTGTAGCTGTAGCTGTAGCAGTAGCTGTAGCTGTAGCCGTAGCTGTAGATGTTTCAAATAAAAAAATAATTGTAAATGTTATTAAAAGAGCAACCCCTAGAGTTTCTTGCTCGTTCTTCTCAAGGGAATCTGCCTTACGAATGAGCGGTAGAGTTTAACTATTGTGACGATTTCAAATGTAATAATGCTTACCTATGATAAAGATTATTTTGAATTTTGAATTTTAGCTGTAGGTGTAGCTGTAGCTGTAGGTGTAGCTGTAGCTGTAGCTGTAGCTGTGGCTGTAGCTGTGGCTGTGGCTGTGGCTGTGGCTGTGGCTGTGACTGTGGCTGTGGCTGTGGCTGTGGCTGTGGCTGTGGCTGTGGCTGTG